CTTACATAATCAAAACGCGCGTCTTCCCGTTGCAACGAAAACAGGATGCGCTAGATCCCCACGAAAACCGTCTAGACACAGAACCCGCCTAACCGCAACATCCTACAAATAGCTCTTTCCTGTTTTTATATGCCTGATACAATAATACAAGAATAGAGTAATAAAATAATAACAATAGAGTAATAAAATAATAACAATAGAGTAATAAAATAATAACAATAGAGTAATAAAATATTCTCTCATCATTAATACTCCTACGACAATTCCCCCTCCTCGCACGACCTCCATCTCTCATACATTCCCAATACCGTTGTCCTTGATATTGCACATTAAAATCTCTCATTATTAATACTTGTGCGACGATTTCCCCCTCGCGCGGTCTCCACCTCTAGTTACTCATACGTTCCCAATAATATAACGTCATCCTCGGTATCACTAATTGAAGATTCCCGTCGCATCATCGATCCGCCTCTCGTCCCCGCGATACACCGCAAACGAACGAGGAAAAACTCCGTTTCTCTCTCGCGATTAATCTTATTCTCTCATACATATTCATATATACAATCCATAGTTATATTACGATTATAATACATACTTATATGCGCGCACACTTAGTTGCGCCAATTGTTGCCAACGCGCTCTCTTCTTTTTCTCTCCTCCTCGTACGCGGCTGACGAAACGACACCGCTTTTCCTCTCATACTTACGATGAGCGCAAAAAAACATCTCGTCGTTATCGTTATTATTAAACACATCGTAATAACCGCTTTCGCTAAAATTCACCATGTACTCCTGTCGCCTGCTAATCTCAATCGGCTTCTTCTTTTCATAGAGTACCTCCAATAAAAGATTATATGCCATCCTTCGATAATGATGACATACGCATGCCTCTATTATCTTTTTAGGCGAAATCTCACGTTGAGGCGGAACTCGACAACCGCGACTCTTTAATTGATTGGAAATCGGTGCGTATTGTCCTCTCACGACGTATTCCGTCACATTGACCGATGGATACGCCCGGGTTACTCCACCGACGTAAAGCGACCCTGGCAGCAGGTCATGATAGATCTGGGACCGCTACCCCGATCTAGCAACATGGCCACACGTGGCTACTCAATATGCAAAACCGCTTTACGAAGTGGGTGGAGATGCGTCCGTTACGCAAGGCCACCGCCGCTGCCGCTCACCACGAGTCTTGCAGAAGCAATTATCTATCACCACGGCTGCCCAGAAGAAATACTAGCAGATAACGGGACGCAACTACGCTCCGAAAAGCTGCAGCGGATGTTGGCCTAAACATCTGGCAAAAATTCATACCGGCATATACATCGCAATGCAATCCGGTGAAACGCACGAATCGCACGGTAAAGACAATGATTACGCAATACATTGACAAGAATCATCGCTGGTGGGACGAGCATCTAAACGAGCTACAATTCGCTTATAACACCGCCGTACATAACGCCACAGATTATACGCCGGTCTATCTAAATCACGACCGAAAACTCGCTACCCCGACCGCCACAAGATCAGACCGAACGACCACTGCCGCACACCCAGAGACGACAAATGCCACCTCATAGGAGACATATAAGGTGATACAGGTGAATTTGGCAAGAGCGTTCCAAAGGCAGGCCCACCACTACAATCTCAGACTCCATGACTGGAAGCCTAAGATCGGCGAGAAAGTCTGGAAAAAAATGCATTTCTTGTCCAACAAAGCCGACGCCTTTAACGCCAAATTAGCACCGCGCTATGAAGGACCGTACGAGGTACGAAAACTATATCCCCGGTGATCATGGATCTAAGAGACACTTGAGGACGCTGGCACCGAAACATACATGTGCGTGATGTCCGCCCCGACTAAGAACACGCGCACCAACGAAGACTCCGAAAGCGAGGTAGCGGGAGAAGAAAATCAACAATAAATATAAAACGATCGCTACGAAAAAATTTAAGACAAGCCCAATCACTTTTCACCACGACACCGTCAAGGATGGACGATCAGTTGAAAGAACTCGAGAAGATATTGGCAGAATACGCCAATTGGGAATACGATCCCGAGAATCCCGGGATCGAGAAGGCATGACGTAACCTACGACGGCCGCCCACTCAGACTACCGAAGCAACAACCGCCACGGCTACCAGCGCAAGATCGGCCGGCGCGCTCGCCGAACGACCGCCGATTCGCCGCCGTACCGTGCCAGCAATCGGCATCCGCATACAGCGGTCCGATCGACAGCAGCAGCAGAAGAACCAAGCGCTGCTAACACCGTCGCCTCCGCTGCAGTCACGGAAGCGAACAGTGACCAAGCCAACACCGCCGAAACTAACGCTGGAGCCCGAACGGGTTGTGGGACCCGAACCGCCGCCACTGATTCCAGTAGAGGTGGCACCCAAGGTCGTCATCGATGTCCCCTATTTTGCCGCGCACGTCAGCCGCCGGTACCAGGGAATGACCGATGGCTCATCCGTTTCAACTACAACAGAAAGCCGCGGATGAGCCGCCGCATGAACTAAAAGTGCCTTAAATTCAGGCACTTAAAAGCAGGGGGAAATGTAACGATGCACCCCCCGCCATCGTTCCGTCCGAACCATCACCCTACTGGACAAAAGCCGACCGACCATCCGTCGGCTTAAAAGACGCAAAGCGCAAAGCGCAAACCGTCGATAAACTTTAAATTACCGAAATAATTAGTACGGCCTACGGACCGTACGGGAAATCTGCGCTACTTAGCGCTACACGGCGGAGATACCCGAACGCGCCGTTTCAGAATGTTTTATTTTAAGTAATATAGTCGATTATCTCGCGAATCGATAATTTTATTGAAAAATTTTTCGAATAAAAATTGCATGACTTGAAGGGGGACACATGATGGAAACGTGGACGTGATCTTGAGTAACCTTGTCAAAATCAAGTCAAGGTCATTTAATGTTTTTTTAAATGGAAATTCCTATTTTTTTACATATTCTTAGTAACTTATCTTCGAGAGCTTTCCAAAACACTATAATAAAGTTACGTTTCATTGAGTACTTTCCGAGTTATGGAGCTTGAAAGTTACAGTACTGTGATCGGTCTTGCCTTAGTTGGCCGAATCAGTGATCGGTCTTGCCTTATAATTTAACAAGTACTTAACGAAAAGTAACTTTATTATAGTGTTTTGGAAAGCTCTCGAGATAAGCTACAAGAATATGTAATAAAAGATAGGGGTTTCCATTTAAAAAAACATTAATGACCTTGATCTTGACAAGATCAAGTCCATTTCCATCATGTGTTCCCCTTCAAGCTATGCAACTTTTGTTCGAAAAATTTTTCAATAAAATCATCGATTCGCGAGATAATCGATCATATGACTTAAAATGAAACATCTGTACATACATATAATTTTCAGTAAATTTCATAATATAATATTTCAAAAAATTTCGAGCAATCTTTAATTTTTCTTATATTTCATAGTATTATATTGAACTTCATAAGGACATGATAGTACATTATAAAACTGATGAAGTGAAATGAAAATTATTGAAAAATTATTTGAATTTCAATCTTGAAAATCAATCTTAATCTTCTTTGAACTTTAATGTAATACTGTGAAATATTAGGAACTAAAGAAAGTTAATATATAATATTGAAAAGTAATAAAAAATTTTGAAATATATAGGTTAATAAAATGAGCTCAATTGAGAGAGAATTTTAGCACAAAATATTTCCGTTAGGGGTATAATACAACAAGAGATCTCATTTCGTATCAAATGGAAAGATGAAAAAAAATAGATAAGTTGGAAAAAATGTATAGTAATTTAATTTACAAAGTCACTTATAATCTTTGTATAAATCTTTTGATTGATTCTTCTTTTTTACTTTTTACTTCCCTATTCCATTTATTGATTATATAAATTGTTCTTTTTCAAATATTAATAAAATTCCTAAAACTCTTTCATATTTTTTCATACCTGCATACGTTCCTTGCAAGTGAGACAAGCTCCAATAAATATGATAATTGGGATTAGATTATACCAGAAACTAGTCCAATTGTCAATATGAAATGCGGCGACAAACGCACCAACTAACATCAAAAATATCGTACCAGGTCCCAGGATTGTACTCCCTTCAAAAATAACAAATGATATTTAAAGATTAATAGATTATGAAAATGTATTATTTTAAGTGTGCATACCCATTAAAAACCATTGATAAACGATGTATAACCATGAGATATCATTATTCACTTTCCTTGTTTCTTTAGCAGTCATCAATAAGTCGAATATATTCGCGACAGTGGAAGGAATCCACCTGCGTCGTTGTATATAAAAATCTTTAAAGAGTTCTGGTGCATGCGTATATGCATCACTCGCTGCAGAATATTCGACCTAATAAAAGTGAATTATCATTCTTATATATGCAAATTACTTCCTAAATCTTCCAAATACACCCAATTTGATATTTTCATTCGTAACATTGGCAAAAATATATATTTATCAATCAATTTCTTTTAAATTTAAAATTTTACATTTAAATCTAAGCAAAACTTTCTTGTTTTTAATATATATTTCATTAATTGTAATATGTTATAACGAGCAATATATTATGATATTATTCTAGAGAGAATGATGGCTTACCCGGGAACCCACTTGAAGAAGCAATGTACAGAGCCATCGATCCTCACCTTGATCGTATTGAATGTAATGTCTAGCTTCAGTAGACTTGGTAGCATATTTCGCAATCACATTAGGTTGTTTTAATGCTTTTGCTCTAAAGAGCGAGAAACAACCAGGACTACACAGAACACAGCCGATAGTATGTTCCGTAGATTTCTGTAGCCAATGACCAATAGCATATTCGAATTTTTGGAACCAAACCATTGGACCTAAAAAGTATTAAAAGTATTAAAACAAATATTAAGAATATTAAAACTTAAAAATATTAAAACAAAGTGATCATTTTATTGCATACACTAAAACTTTCCGAATAGAATGTTTTCTAATCTAAAAAATTATACAAAATTTAAAATCTCAAGTTGTTTTTAACAGTAAATAATGAAAGTTTTCTTCAGATAATAATTTGATAGTAATAAAAAATCAATATCCTTATTCTTAAATCCCTGTTACTCAATCACTGTTAACAACTATAATAGTATGTTTTTAATATTATTATAAATAAAATATTTAATGATAATATTTGTTACATAACAATATAATAATTATAATTTGCACATTGTACCTGATCCAACTGGATGTATTCGACCGCATGCTGCACCAAGATCTCGATCCTTTTTCATCAGATCCAATAGAACTTTAACGGCGGCCGGTCGAAAATCGATATCTCCGTCCAGAGTCAGAATGTACGTGTTCTCGGCAATAATTTCTTTCCGATCTATGTCAATTGGTAATCCCATTAGACGATAGCCCAGAAGAAAGAACATATACATGACCTCAAAAAATTAAACATTATCATTTCTTAACTTCTACAAATTTTTTCAAATCTTTAAATTAGAAAGAAATTAAATTTCTTTCAAATAAAAATTTGATGAGTAATAATATCTATATTTAATTATTATCAAATGCACGTACATACATTTTTGTCAAAATTTTTGTTAAACGCACTTTAATGTATGTGTATTTATCAGAAGACACGGTA